CACCCCCCTGGCGGGGGGTGGTGACAGCCAGGTGGCCTGGCCTCCCCTCGAACATCTGCCCCTCACCTCTCACCTCATCATCACTGTTTCCATGGATGCCAGCCCCTGTGGGGACAGTAATATCACCACCAGCGGCCCTCCAGGGGCTGGGAGCCACCGGTCCTTCTCCATCACCAATGGTAGTGGCACCATCCTCATCATCTCCTGTGGGATGTCTATCCCTGGGGCTGCTGGTGATGCTGTCCCCATTGCTTGGAGTGGCTGGGGGGGGCAGCTTGTGAGCAGCCTTGCTGTCATCGCCATTGTGTGCCACAGTGACTCCCAGCCTGGGCAATGGGCTGCTGGTTCCCGCAGTGCGGATGCTATCGTCCCCACTGCCAACAGTGACACTGGCCTGGGTGGTTTCTTGCTCCCCCACGTGGATGTTTGCCCTCCCAATGAAGATGTTGACCTCGTCATCCTTGTCTGGAGAGATCTGGGTGAAGCTGGTGGCCCTTGCTGTGCTGCCCACCTTCCCATGGGTGACGGTGACGCTGCCCGAGTCCGGGATATAAGCGTACTCATCCACACCTTCAGCATCCACTTGGACATCCTCCATCTTCTCGGCCACAGAGGCGAGAGTGGTGCTTCCCGTCCCTATGCCCTGCATGATGCCCTCCTGCCCTTCGCCAGGGACAGTGGCCTCACCACTGCCCTCATCCTCAGCTCCTCCGGTGGCAGGCGCCCTCTCCCTCCCGTCTGTCATGGCCTCCTCTGTTAGAACCCTGCGAGGGGCATCATCGTCCCTGTCCTCACTGCTGACACCAGACCTGTTCCCTGCCACGGCCTTACCAGGGCGTCTGCCCTGGGGGAGAATCGAAACACCACCATCAACTTCAACCACCAAATCCACGTCACCGCTGCCCTCTGAGCTGGCTGGGGTGGGACCTGCAGTGCCGACACCAGCGCGTGCCCGTGTGCTGGTGCCTGGGTGAGGACTGTGAGCATCCCCGCCAATGCCTGGTGCGCTGTGGTTTTCTGGCTTGAGGCTGGTCCTGTTCTCCATTGCATCAGTGCTGTCATTGTCACCTTGCTCTGGGGCTGGCCTGTCCTCCGCCGGCCCCCACCTGGCATTGCCCTCACCCAGCCGGCGGCCAGGGACGGTGCTCTGGCTGTCAGCCTCTTCTTTCTGTGCAGTACACATAAAGGAGAGGTCAGGGCCAGCCCCTGCCAGCTGCGTGGGGTGCTGCAGCCAAGCCGGGGTACTGCTATGCCACCTGGCTGCCTCCTCACCTTTATCTGTGTCTGATTCCTCCGCGTTGAAAATGAGTAGACATATTTGAATACATAGAAGCCATGCTTGGTATTGCAGCCTTTCAGCAGTATCTGGTGGGGAAGAAATAACCCAAACCCATATTTTCTTATTAAATGAGATGGCAGGAGCTTCCCTTGCTGTATTTGCCACCGCAGCAGGGTCCCACCAGCACCCACTGGGGCCCCAGGGCAGGTGGTAGCTCCCGCCACATCATGGCCACCATGGCAGGGACTGGGCAGGATGCGTGTGCTCTCCTCCCAGGCTCCGGGGTTTGGTTTCCCCTTGGGCTCATTTTCTGCTTTTGCTTGCTTTCAGGAGCTGTGGATTTTTTGGGTTCTTTTGCAAGGTAGCTTATGGCTGGACAAACAGCCTGGTTGATGGTCCCATCAGACATGAGTGATGGGACCAACAGCAAACAAAGTGCTGGAATGACAGCAGCTGGCTTCCAATACGCAAAACCAGGCATTTTCTTCCACGCTACTCATCTGAATTTTGCTCCTGATGCATTTTACACTGATATACTTTGAAAAAAAACCCATAGCAACTGGGCCTGGGACTTTTACAACCTCACCTGTAGGTACACCGAGCATTTTTGCTCTGGGGCTGGGCAGTGGCAGAGAAACAGCTGGTGGGAAGAAGCCCTTTCCTCGCCTGAGCACATTGCACCTTTCCCCTCCCCTGCTCTTTGTGAGGGCTGCTCGGATGCGAGGGACCACAGGTCTCCTTTTCTGCAGCTCACTGGGGCTGCCCTCCAAAAGCAGCTTTTTCTCCCTGTGCCTCAGGTGCAGAGAACCCAACAGGCCCTGGATGGGGCAGGGAGGGACATACCCGGTGCTGTCCCACACAGTTCCCGGCAGCTCTCCCAGGCAGAGGCGGTGGCACCTGCAGGCAGCAAAACACAAGCAAGAACCAAGGTGTCAAACGCTGTCCTGGCATCCAGGTCGCTGCCAACACCTGCTGCTGCCTGCCTGCCCTGCCCAGCATGATGGGCAAGCCGTGGTGTTCAGGGAAGGGCGGGAAAATGGTGTTGATAAGTGAATAAATTCCCAGGCACTACCTGGGGTGCTGGCTTAAAGCCAGCAATAGTAGGAAAGGTCAAAACCCCATTTCCAGCAGCTGAAAAGTATTGCAAATTCTGCTACAGCATGCTTGTATTGCACACTGCTTTTAACAGGATATTGTTGGTCCGCAAATATCCTTTTACTGGATTCTGCTGCAGAGTATTTTTATTGCAGAGCAGTTTTAATACATGGCACCACTACTCACAACACAATGCTCCAACTTACAGCTGGGATCTGACTGCGATGGGAGCCTGGAGCTGGTTAACTGGTGGTGAATCCAAATGTTTACTGGGCAACTGAGCAGCAATGCCTGTGCCCTCACAGCCAGGTTTCTGTACATGCTTGCATGCTTCCAGCTTCCCCTGATTATCCTGGCATCTTTTGGGATGTACTGGCCAGTGCATCCCTCGGGATGAGGGATCTGGAGGTGGGAGCATCCTATGAGCTCCACCAAGACATTTTGAGGCATTCCCTATGTGCCAGACATGGAGATGGACCCATGGAGGGGACCACGCTCCAGTCTCAGCAAAATGAGCTACTGAAGTGCCCCAAGCCCAGCTGAAAGGGGCAGAAACATGCCCCAGAGTATTAAATATTCCCGGGTTATTCCACTGTTTGTGAACAATGTCAAAGGCTGGATTACAGCCCCAGTTACACAGCAGAATATTAATCATCTGTCTTCTGTGCCTCTATCTGAAAAGCACATCTGTGCTGATTTATCGCCTTCCCTGTGCTGCCCTAGAACAGACCCAGTTGTGCAAGCTTGCCCTGGGAGCTAAAGGACAGCTGAGGCCTAGCCCTCAGGGAAGATGTGGTTTCCGTCCTCCTTAACCTGCTGGAAAAGCAAGCCTTTGCTAGGAGCAGATTGTCACTCTATCTGTGTATTTAGTATGTTGGGCAAGAGTTATGCAGGACAAAAATGGCTGCTATTATATTTATCTTAGTTTGCCCATTGTTTCAGTTGTATCTGTCTGAATTTCACACTAGGAGTGCTGTAATATAATTTCAGGCACCCCTCCGACCCCTGTTACCCACATGGGTAAGGCAGGCATCCTCCCCACGCCTCCCTTCCTGTGGCTCCGCTCAGGCTGTTCCCAGGCCAAAAGCTCAGGGCAGATCTCAAATCCACAGAAATCTAGCGGAAGAGTTACAGTGACCCAAACTGGCCCTTGCACAGTGCCCTAACTGTTAAGGGCACATGCTCAGACACCTCAGTGCTAATACATATTTTTTCTGCTGGATTCACCTTTGCACCAGCACCTCAAACCCCCTCCCAAGCCCCAGAGGTGCTATATGCAAGTACAACTTCTATTTCCCTGCTGCTGAAGGCGTGCCAGGGTGCACTGGGTGATACACCTCATGCTTTCGGTGGCACAATGGGAAGCCGGGGAGAGCCATACTTACAGGTGTCGAGAGGGCTGTGCTGAGCAGGCACAGGCACAGGCACAAGAGGGCTGTTTGCATCTTGGGCAGCTCCTGGGGGCACAAAGCAAAGCATCACCTGGAGTTTGTCTTCCTGGGACTTGTGGTCTCCAACAGTCCTGGTCAGCAGCAGCCCAAAATCTCCTGCTGTCCCGAAGCCCCCATGGCAGCGGAGTTATCCAGCAACCCCAGCTTTCCCCAGCCTTTGCAGTGGCTCACGGCATTCACTCTGCCTTGCTGCACTCCTTGCAGCAAAGGCAATGCTCTTGCCTTATGCGTGTGGTGGCGTCGTGAAGACGCATGCATGGCCAGCAGCACTCAGTGGGTGCTCTGACACCAGGTCTTAAAGCTTCTTAACTCATTCTGTCAAAGCAGCTTGGATGGGTATTTGTAATAAATGACCACCAAAACTGCTGCAGGCGAAGTCATATAGTCGTAAGTCTGAATTAAGAAACTCTCATGCTGTTTTCAACAGCATTGATAAATGGCAGGAGACAATAGCTCTGTTGGCTCGAAATTCTCATTCACATATCCACCCTGGCTTGGGCTCACAGGTCCAGCCCAGAGACTATTTTCAGCCATGCAAGCATTGCTACAGAAAACATCAGAAGGAAACTCATGCACAAGGATCAGCAGTACAAAGCAACATAGGCTCAAGAGGCTGCGACACAGAGATGCACATAGCCGAGGCTCGGGCCGTCTCCCTGTCCCCACCGTGACTTGCCCAGAGTGAAAGCAGGAGGTGCTCTGCTCAGGGAGGGCAGAACTGAAGGGCTGGGGAGAGACAAGGCAGGCAAACTAGGTAAAAAGATTACCTTTCACCGTCAGAGGCAGGTCCCAGCGGCAGACCGTGGAGACTGTGCCCACTTTGCTGAAATTTAAAGTTGGCCCTGAGCACATGGAGCCAATCAGCTCCTGCCTAGGGACATTTGTCAGAGCTGGCAGCACCCGCAGATAACCAGGGGGAGTAATTTACAGCTAAAAATGTGTTTGTGGTGGAAGACAGCTATCAAATGTTCCACCTGGCTGGATAAACAGAAAGAACCGTTTATAAATATCTGTTCTGAAGGTGAAATTGCTCGATGATTAGTGCAGATTGTAGCATGGCATATATCCAGCCCAGTTATTGATAAGAGGGGGGTGCAACGGGTCATAATAGTATGCTCACCGTGACCGACATGGGAAAGCCATCAGGGCTGCAGAAAGGGAAGGTTGATACACTGAGCCCAGCCTGATCATGGCCACAACCGGCACCACAGGACAGTGCTAGCCAAGCTGAGAGCCCCCGCCATGCTGTAGCCTCCAACATTTGCTTTTTGAGTTTTAACCTCAAACTCCCTGAGAAAAGCCAAGTGCAAGTGCAAAGTAGAAGAGTCATAAAAAAGAAAAAAAAAATATTTTTCATGTATTGCTTGCACAGGTCACTTCGAGCCCACCTTCTTTGCTGTGGGAAGGTGCTACAAGGACATGCACAGCATATGTACTCTCCTCCTGCCCCCCTCTAGCTTTGGTGGGATTGCTGGTCACCTACGCATATGCCCAGGCAGGTTCCCCCTGCTGCGGCCAGCTTGGCTCAGCCACTCACTGTGCTGATGGTGACAACAGCTCCCATCCCACTCGCCACTCTGCCTCAACCCAAACCCTGGGAGCAGGCACGAACACCACATTGAAGCCAGAAATGCTTAAACCATCAGCATCCATCCTCAGTCAGGGACAAACCTTGGAGCCAGGAGGAAACTTGCCCTTTCCCCCCAGCCAGGGAGCCACGGTCAGATGCAGCCCTGCAGGTACTGGGGCAGCCAGCCGGTGCGCCTTGGCTCTGGGAGGCAGAGATTTGGCTGGGTGACGCACATGGGACCGGGCTGGGCACCCCATGGGGGTAGGGCCCGGTCCCTGGCAGCACCAAGGGCCTTTGTCTGTGCTGGTTCCCTGACGTCTTTGGGCACCCCCAGGGGATGTGGACAATTGGCCTCTTGTGTCCCCCTGCCTGCCATGTGCGTGTGCTCCCAGTGCCACCATAGGGATTTAGGCCCAGGGGTGCCCACCCTGCAGGCAGCAGCCCCTGCCACCCTGGCAGCTGCAGCCTGGCTTTGGCACACAGAGGAGGTTTTATACAGTGGCCAGCACCTTGCTGCTGTGAGAATAGAAACTCGTTTTACAGTTGGACCTCTACTGGGAGCTGCTCACAGGTTTCCTTTCCAGGAGAGCGAGGGCAGTGCAGTACCTGCCGTAACCCATGCGTGAGGCCATCAGCTTTCCTAAATGGGGGCACCTGCCTGGAACCCAGCGGGATTTGGTTCTTCCTCATTCCTGGTGCTGATCCCCAGTTGGCTATGGCCACGCTTTTGTGGGGAGGTGACTCTGGGCAGGGATCCTGCAAGCTGGGCATCCCCATCCCTGATGCAGGAGGCAAATGGACGCACTGCTGTCACTGCGACAGCCCTACCTTACCCTGAGGACAAGGCTGTGTGGCAGGGAGAGACATGGACTATTTTGAGCTGCAGTGCAAGTGTCTGAAACACGTCTGAGGTGCCTGGCCACACATGCCTGGTGCAGGGATGCAAAGCTCTCATTACAGCGGTGTGCATCTACAGCTAGTGATGCACAGAAAGATAAATTACTGTCTTTACCTTTATTAATATTGCCTGGTGTGTGATCAGGCCACAGCAGGCATGCTACCGAGGAGTGGAAGACATGGTAAAGTTATTGTCGCCCACACCTTGCAAATTCACATCAACTCTATATCAGACATAGCAGTAATCCCACAGCAGTAACCCTAACAATACCCTTCCATTCTTTGGAGGGCACTGTAGAAAGGCTTTCTCAGTTACCCTTTCTGTTCCTCCCTTCTTTTGTGTGCATCTGAGCTGGAATAAAGAGATTTAACCCTGAGCTCCTGTAGCCCTTCAGCCCACCAAGCACTGTGCTGCCCCACTGACGCCAGCAAATTCAGCAGCAAAGCCTTCATCACCAACGAGCTCAGTTCGGTTGCTTTATTTTGTTTCACTTTGCAGGATACAAAAAATAACCTGGGACAGAGCCGGTGTCCACCACAAGCTGCCTGGTGTCCCCACTGTAGTGAGCCTTTGGATGCACATTCCTGAGCGGGATGGGGCAGGCGGTGGGCAGCACTGAGGCCACTCTCCAGCCCGCTCACTGGCTGTAGTAGTAATCCTGGCCATACACATCATAGCCGTGCCCCTTGTAGTAGCCGTACTCATCCTCGTAGGCCCTGTAGCTGTCCCCACGGGTGTACTCGTCCTGCTCCCCGTAGCTGCCATCAGTGGTGCCCTCGTGCCCCTGGCCATGGCCCCCAGCTGTCACCTCATACTCCCACTGGTCCCCAGCTGTGGTAGTGTCCGTGGGTTCCCCATCTCCCACAGTGGTTGCCTGGGACAGGCCCTCTTCACTGGTGGTGCTGGCGATGGTGGTAGCTTCAGTTTCCTCCTCTTCCTCCTCCTCCTCCTCCTCTTCCTCTTCTTCATCCTCCTCCTCTTCCTCCTCCTCCTTGGCCATGCCAGTGCCCTCCTCAGCCACTGAGGTGCCATTGCCATGAGGTCCGTCTGCCCCCTTGGTGGTGTTGGTGCTTGTGCCATTGATGCCATTCTCGTTCTCAGCTACCTCTTCCTCCTCCTCCTCATTCTCATCACTGTCTTCGTTTTCGGAGTCACCCCCCTTGCCAGCAGCACTGTTCCTGCCCCCCTTCAGAGGCCCTTGGCAGCCCTTGTCCTGATGGGGGCGAAATAGCACAGCATTAGTTGGGTGTTGGGAGGTTGCAGCTTTTGGTGCCACATGGCATGGGACAGGCATGGGCACAGCTGGTCATCCTGATCATCCACCCCCCCTGCACCTTGCATGGCAAGGCTGCCTTTTTGGGGTGCCCCTTCCAACCCTCCTACCAGGTTAATTCCCAGAGCTTGGCCCAGCCATGGGCATCTTGTGCAGCAGACCTCCAAGCAGAAACGGGGTGCAGGGCACCCCCTGGGTGCAAGTAAACATCCAGTGAACACAGTGGGTGCTCCCCTCCAGTCCCCCAAACCACACCTGCTGGGGGGATACGACATCTCCTCCCAGCCCACACTGGGTGTCCTTTGGGGCTGCTCCGGCAGGGTGGCCAGCTGCCTCGGTGCCAGCATGGAATGGCTCCTGCAGGGACAGGGAGAGGACAGGGCAGGTGGTCAGCAGCAGGAACGGAGCCCTCCCAGCAGTGAGGAGGGGCACACAGCATCCCTGCATGGTGTTTGGGCACTGCTCTGTTTCCTGCTTTCCCACGGGTCTCATCCCAGGCTGAAATTGAGAAACTGCAGCCAGGGAGCCCGTGCTGTGCAATTAAGTGGTGGTGGCTGGAGTCGGGTGTTCCCATTCTGACTATGTATTTTGCTTTACAAAGCATCTGAAGATTTGCTTTTGAAGTTACCTCTCCCAGTTTCCAACAAAGAAAGCCACAGGCACACTACATGTGGACACACTACACACCAGGCATAGATAGCTGGCGAGAGCATGATGGCTCAAAGCCATATGTGAGCCCGAACCCCACCAGCAATAAGCCACCAGCACCGCTCAGCCCAGAGACCACTCAGCAGATCAGGTCTCTCAGCGGGGTGCACAGCAGTCTGTGCTGCTAAAAAAGGGCAATGAATAACCCAAATGCAAGCAGAGCCGGGAGCAACCACTGAGGTACTGGTGGGGCAGCTCACCCTGTCCCCAGCCCGGGGAAAAGGAGCACCTCGCCACCAGCAAATGAACCCAGCCATGGTGGGGAGACGCAGGGTCACTGCCATCCCTGCCCTGGGCTATCGCTGCTGCTCGCACGCCAAGACCAAGGATGCTTACCCTGGTGTTTTGGGCCAACTCGGACACTTAGAATATGGGTGTATCTGATGCCAGAGAAAACCCAGGCTGTTTTCTTCTCCACTGGAGGAGCCACCAAATTGCACGGTGCAGCCCCTGTGCTGATGGGAGCGATGGCCCTATCTAGCAGCCGATATAACAGTGCTCTTTACATACCTGTAACTGACCTTGAGGCCTTTCATCATGATTTTTCTTACTGACTAACTGTTGCCAGCACCCCTGCCTGGGAACGGCCACTGCTCTGGTGCCCTTGAAAAGAGAGGGGCGGCCCAAACAGCAGCCCTGAACAGCAGCTGCATTCCTGCATCTCCCTTAATTTCTTCCTCTGGAAGGAAATTCCCCCTTTGGCTGTCTCATCCCACTACTCAAAGTTATCTCTAGTGATCAAAGTGTAGGGGAGAGCAACAGGCAGTAAGGGGCAAATTGCAGAAACACATGGGGTCAGGGGCCACCCTATGCTGCACCACAGCCCCAGGCAGGCCTCCAAAAGGGGTTTTAAGAGCAGACATCCGGGCTTACTCTCCTGTTAAAAAGACCTCTGAAATTAGCATTCAAATCATTCAATTTAAAAAAAAAAAAAAAAAAAAAAAGAGAAAGATGTGACACATAGGTTTCCAAGCATGCTGGATCCCTGTCTCAAAGCACCTGTGTGCCTGAGACCACTGGATTATTTTTGAGCATTTGCAGCCTGGTGAGGCACAAGAGACCTTTGTAATCCCTGATGTTTAATTTTGGACCTGGGTGACTCTCCCAAATGCAGCATTGCCCGAGCTCATATTGACCCAGCAGACAGGAGAAGTGTTACTAGCTGGGCTGGTACAAACATGCATTTCCAAATATAGCATCAGTTTGTGTCCCACCACACGCACGCATGTGGAGCATAACTGTATTTTCCACAGCAATTTTATCAGCACTATGGGGGCAACACCCCCTGAAAGGGGAAGGTAAGAGTGGTCCCTAACAGTGCCTTTTGCCTTGTGGGTGAGCCTCCCTGCTTCTGTCCTTTGGCCAGTTCTGCTCCTTTCTGAGACACTGAAAATGGAAACCCAGAAAGTTTGTCTCAGGGTTATTTGGTGCATCTCCAGCCCATCCTCTTTAAAAAGAAAAAGGAAGAAAAAGGAAAAACTATACAAAAAAAAAATAATAAAATAAAGCCCAGAGTAGAAAATCCAGTTGCATCCAGAGTGCAAGGCAGTGGGCGGTCAGCGGCCACAAATGCTGATGAGCAGAGACTACAAAACCAAAGAAAGTTACCAAATTCCCGTATTTGTTGTGCAGGCTGCTGGTTGCCGTACTCACCCCGCCTTCCTTCTCCTCCTCCGAGCCATCTCCCTCTTCCTCCGATGAGTCACTGCCCTAAGAGAGGCAAAACCAAGCTGCAACTGGGCTGGCAGGTCTCCATTGGTGTCACAAGCATGACAGTCTCAGCCCAGCCCTGCAGGCCAGTGGCAGACGGGGCGCAGACCGTGCCCTCGTCTCATTTGGGCTGATATCTCTGCATCTGGTGGGTGACGAAGCATCAGCAACCCCTCTGAAGCACCCACCTGGTACCATCGCTGCGGGGGATGCACATAGACGTATCTGTACAGGTAATACCGGTGCCTGTTCTTGAACACCTACCAGGAGAAGAAGGATAAATCCCATCAGTCTGGGGGCTTGGGTACAGGAGTGGCTGAAATGTCCTCGTCCTCAAGGCTAGCACTGTGTGGGGCTGGGCATGCAGGGTGGGGGGAGGCCCTACCGCGTTTTCTTCTGAGTCGTCCGACTTGGCTCGCCGCAGCCAGCTCTTGACCTGGGAAAGAGGCTGGGTTGGCATGTGCCCCACACCAGTCCCAGCGAGGCCAGGGTGTCCCCCCATTGCCAGGCACTCACCGAGAAGGCACACGCCATCCCCACCAGGCAGGCCAAGACCAGGGCAGTCCTCATGGCTGTTTTCTCTAGGAACAACAAAAATCGGCGAGGTCTTGCTTTTCAGGTAAGAAAGCACTGTCACTACCTCAAACCATACAGGTGTTTTTGTGCACATAGGTGAGCAGGGAGAAGAAAGGCTGACCCCCAGTCATCTCTTGATAGGGTCACCCAACCCCTCTGGAGACCCAAGTTCTTCTATTGTTTTGACAGATCTGCCTCAATTTCCATGAATACATTTTGTTTTTGCAAGAAGCCACAAAATACCAGAAAGGGAAGTTTCACCTGGTAGTAGACGCATTGCTTTCTCTGAGCAGGACTACTCTCTCCTGGTCCCCATCACCTGCGAGCATGTGGGGAAAACCAGCCCCTGCCGGAGGTGCGACAGGAGCAGCCTGTGGCAGTGCTGCCCACTGCAGCTGCCCTCCCACAGCCCTGCAACCAGCTCAGGCTCTGCCCAGGGAGCAACGCCCCTGGGAGCTACACCACAGAGAGCTTAACCTCATTGAGGAAAAATAAATAAGCAAACAAATAAATGAATATAATCCGCTTCTACAGCCTGCCATTGACTCAAACAGCAGTGGGAAGGCACGAATGCAAGGATCCACCCGTAAGGCATATCCAGGGGGAAGGCTTGGCTCTGGGCAGGTCCAAGCTGCACCTCCTAGGCACCCAAATCTGGCCTGCCCTCCTCCATCCCGGCCCCAGCAAGAAGCACGCACGACCCTTCTGCAGGTCCCAAGCCTCCGGCCAGGGAGGGATGCTCCCAGCATACCCCCGGGTTCAGTCAGGCCCACTAACCTTATTTTTTCCTACCCTTCCTCTGCCTAAACCCACCATCAGCTGTGCTGAGGTTTGGGGAGGAGTTGTTATTATATTTATCTGCACTTGAAGTTTCCCCAGGCTAGAAAACTACTGGCCACAAGGTAGCTTCCCTGGCCATGCAGTCAGGCTCTGGATGCTCATTCCCTCCACCAGAGTACTTCATGGAGCCACAGACCCAGGAAAGGGCTAAAAGCAGCATCCAGCCCCGCCAGCAAGCTGAGCCCCCCACCTCCCCACAAAAAGTAGATGGCAATGCACAACCTGGCTGGGAAAAGCAGCAGCAAGCTTACCC